ATTTCCCTTTCTTGTTTAAATCGGTTTGTATCAGATTTTCTATCACTTAAACTGCAAAAACTGTAATATAATCATGCATTTGGAGGTTAAGTTCAATCAAGACAAAACTTTATGGCATAATGAAATTCCCATCCTTAGACCAAGTAGATTAGTATCCCAAGATATCTCATATCTAAATAGTCTTTCGGCACAAATACATATCACATTAATGATAAACCAGAAGTTATTTTTAATGTTTTACTCTCTAACATCAAGCACATTTAATGAGCAAAAAGGATTCAATAAATGTTTAGTGGATGATTTTAAGGTGACAGGCTGAATAAGCAGATCCCTGACCTTGTCTAACATGAAACCATGTGGTACAGATAATCGCTAATTCCAATTTAATGATTTCCAGGAATGGTGGTAAACTCTCAGCCTGCATCAGTGGAAAGAACCATATTCAATTAATTTTATCTAATCCAAGTAGAATATATTTATAATATAGTTAATGCTTTGTTAGAGATTTAAAAATAAAAGTTAAATTGGCATGGCTCTTGTCACATAGATCCTTGGATAACAGGGGTAGCTCTAAAGAATATATAAAATACATATATTATATACAATATATATGTATGAAAAGGTATTAGTGTCATCATTTCCAACCTCTCACTCTACAATAGCATCTTTTGAGAACATCTGTGACAGATGAGCACCATCTGTACTTGGGTACTTGGAGACTCAGGGACTTCACCTCAGATGAAGTCAGGCTAATCCCTTGTCAGGGAGGTTAATTTCTAAAATTTCATTCATATATTAAAACTGAAATCTGGGTCTTGTTTGGGCATGATGATGCTCCACGTGAACTGTAAGTTCCTGTTCATATTTGTTATTGGTATGTGCACGCATGTGTGTGTGCATGTGCATGTGTTTTGATGGGTACCAAATCTAGGGCCTCATGTGTAATACACAGGTTCTCCACTACTGAGCTTCATCCCCAGCCCCATATGAGAGCTTTTCATGTCTGATGATACAGAAATCATTTGTTTGTATATCTTACCTTCTTTAAGTTAAGCAGAATTTCTTCTTTCAAAATCACTCATGCTACTGGGGCTTTTGAATTCTCCTCTAGAGATACATGAAGTTGTTGTGAAATAGCAATAACTAAAATCCCTTAGAAAGGGACTTCTCTCTGCCACGTGTTGTGCTAAATTGTTTAGACACATTATTTTTTCTTGAATGCCTTAATAATTGTGTATGACATAATAGAAGATAATTTATCTGAGAATTTGAATACATAAGTATTCAATATGTTGTTCTAGATGATCAGCCATTTTTAATCACACTATGTAATAATAAAAGAGGATTTTATACAATATGCTATACTAAAAGATGGTGTGATTTCTAGGGCTGCAAATGACAGGCAGGTGGTGACAAAGTGGGCAAGGTGGACCTGATCATACAAGACGGTTAGAAAATGGTCCCACTGAGGCTCCTTGATGCGGTGAAACTATCATAAATAACCTGGAACAGTTTATTCACTGGTGAGCAAAAGATACTCCAGATGTATAGGTTAAGAGTGCCTTGAGGAGGGAGCCACCAGCGTTTACTGGGACCTGTGCCATGCTGGGACCTGGAGCACTGGGAAACCAAGCAAACCCTTGCCCCTGGTGAGTGGCTGTGAGCATGGCAGGCTGCGGGTGCCCAGGACCAGAGCCTGTGGTGTTTAATGGGACCTGTGCCATGCCAGGTCCTGGAGCACCAAGGGACCAAGCAACCCCTCTCCACCGTGGTGAGTAGCTGTGAGCGTGGCAGCTAATGGTGGCCCAGGACAGGAGCCACCGGTGTTTAATGGGACCATGCTGGGACCTGGAGCACTAGGAAACCAAGCAAGACACCTCCCACCCCACCCCCACCCCGTGAGGGGCTGTGAGCCTGCCGTCAGCGCGTGGGCTGAGAATCAAACATCATGTCTACTCCCCACCACACACACCGCTAGCAAGTGGGAGCCAGGGATGTCCAGATTTAAGAGGTTGACCATAGGCAATGTAGCAAATAGGGGGTGGGGACCATCTCTTTGAAGGCAAGTACTTTTATCCCTGTTTTGCTTTGTTCCAATTAATGATGTGATTTTAGCCTGTTTTGTTTTGTTGAACTTCAATATACATGAAAGTATGGACAGCTATTTTGAAGAGAACAAGAGACAGCAAATAATGCCGTCCCTATTGTCTGGTTTTGAAGACCTAAAATGCCTTCCCCATTCTGTTCGGATCAGTTTTATACCATGTTGTTTTGTATGAATTCTCTGTATGCAAAGACATGAACAACTATTTAGAAGAAAACAAGAGACAATATGATAGATGGTGAAGATCTCAGGTCATCTAGCTTTGAAATTTATATCTCTTACATTGCTTTCTTACATCCTATTTTGTTCTGTTTTGTTGTGTTTAATTTTACTCTCTTTAAAAAAAAAATTAAAAAGAGAGCCTTAAAATGAAGGGTGGCAAAAGCAAGACAGGACACTGCCTGATCTTTTCCAAAGATCTATCAGCATCCTGGTTTGAGGCTGCCAGACACAAGGAAAATACTGATGGTTACTGACCTTCCCAAACCCTATTTGTGCAGGTTAGAAAGAAATTTCATATTTTTGAAATAAAGTTTGTTACTAAAAAATTACTAGATTTTTACAAAAGCATTCTTTATGAAACGGGTATGGCTTACAAATTCCAACTGCCCATTGATAACTTCATAGGAAAAACACATTCATTATATAAAATGTTTACACCAGCAAATATTTAGTTTTAATACAATATGTAATTTCTTTTTATGTGCAAAGAAGATATTTTCATTCAATGCAAAACATATAAAATAAATTTTAAAGTGATTTTTCTGACATTAAAAACAAATAAAAGATTTTGTAAGACATACATACATTTGAAATTGATTTCTTGTTGTAATTAACATTTCAAATTGTATACCAAAACTCTCAAACTAGAGTGTCTCTTGTAAATCATTGTCTTTCTTCAGAGTTAAGATATATAGTTATAAATATTAATCTGGAGGGGATCAGGCCTGCCAATCTAAGGAAGTAATCTTTTACTGTAGAAATTAGCCCACATTTTATAGATGAAGAAGCTAGAAGTCAGAGAGGTTAAGTCATTTGCTCAAGGTCAAACAGGAAATAGACAGCTGAGCCAAGATTTAAATTACTTTTTCTCTGATTCCAAAGCCCATTCTTGTAACCAGTAAAATATATTAGTCAAAGAATAATGATGACATCAAATATAGTATAACTGATTTGGCAAAACCCAAATAGAATCCAGTTTAGCATGGCATTAAATACTTCATTATATAATACAGTACACTAGAATATAATTCCATGATTTTAGTTAGGATTTTTATCTATCTTTGAAATTGTAGTTCCCAAGCTGTGACAGTGTCTAAATATGTAAGAAATACTTAGTAAATATATGTAAGACAAGTGGAAAAACTGGATTATTTCTTCCGTCCACCTAGTACTTATATAAACCAATGCTTAACTTTCTTAGAAATGAGAAAATAACAGTGGTTTTTATTATTTACATTTGATTAATAATCTTATATTAATAAACAAACTTTTAGTCATACTTCTCCCTTTAAAACACTGTAAACTGCTCTAAAATTAGTATGTATTTATTCATCAAGCAAATATTTATTAGATAGTACAATATGTATTCAAATGTAGATATTTTCAGTTCAACAGAGAACAAACAATCTTTCCCTCATGGAACTTGCATTTTAAAGTGGAAGATCAACAAGGAACAGTAACTTTGATAAGTAAATTGCAATGTGTACTAGAAAAACATTAAATGCTATATAGAAAAGTAGAGGAAAATCAGAATTGCTGGGGGAGAGGAGCTACAACTATTAATATTTCATAATATCCCAGAGCAGACCTCACTAGGAAAGTGACACTTAAGCAGAAGGTGACAGAATTAGGTATGCAGGTAATTGGGTGTTACACCACGAACAGGAAATGATGAACTTAGAGATTGTTGAATGAGACCGGTGTGTTTGAGCAACAGCAGAAGCCACGAGGACTCAAGAAGGAGAAACAAATGGGAGAGTTGAGAGGGATGAAATGTGGGGCGGGAGGTGCAAAGCGTGTATGGTCTTGGGTCCACTGAATGCTGCCTTGTCCTCCAGATGAAAGGCACAGAGTATAGATTGCTCATTGAGGAAAGATTGAGAGGGCCTAATAGGAAAAGCAGAGAGACCATGAGAAGATGATCGTAGTAATCCAATTAGTGCTAAGAGTGATTTGGATCCAACTGGAGCTGACGGTGACAGTGAAGGTGAAGAAATATGATGAGATTATGGATATATTTTGAAGGTAGTGCTAATGTGACTTCTTGATAAACTGCACAAGGAGTATGAAAAAAAGCAAATTAACACCAAGGTTTAGGGACTGATAAAATGATGTTAACTGAGTTGGGGAATGCTCTAGATGAAATAGATTAAGGAACAGAGGAACAATCATCTCTAGATATGTTAGAAGAATCACATATTTGAGAAAGGAATATGAACTGGAGATGCAAATTTGGAAGACATTAATACACAGCTTCATGGATCTAAAGCAGTAAAAGTAGATAGTCCCAAGCTAACAGATGCAGAATGAGAACAGAAGACAAATAAATTGAGAAATCTCTACTTCTAGTTCATTAAGAGGACTAGAGAGAGATGGGAAATAAGAGTCTAGAAATGAGGAGCTAGTAAAGTCATAGAAAAGCAGCTAGTATGATACCCTGAAAGCCAAAGGAAAGAGTGCATCAGTGAAAAAGAAAAAACCTAATCAACAGTGCCAAAGAATTTTGGCAGGTAAGAGGAAGATTAAGAGCAGAAATCCAGAGACAAAGTCATAATTAGAATGGTTTTAATAGAAAATAGAGAAAGAAAATAATAGGCAATATCTAACATTAACTAAAAATGAAGAGCTATGAAGAATTTTGCTGCAAAGAAAAACCTAAAATATATATTTAATTCAGGGGAAAGTGTGAACACAGTCCCCCACTACCACAAATTATACAGTGGCATTTCCTACATTTTTGGAAATCTCAGGGGTCAGCACATTCAGAGTGCAATGGATAAGCCTTACCCTGGGAAAACCATCTTCATGATCATGGTACCTCCCCTGCCCGGTAAGTATCTAAAAATATTTTAATGGAGTAAAAAAAAATAGCATTTTATATGCTTATTGTGGTTTTGGGTTTACTTGTTTGTTTTTCTAGCAAGGACTGAACTCACAACCTCATGCTTGCCAGGCAGGTGCTTACACCTCTGAGCTAAATCCTTAGTGCTGCATTTTATATGCTTACGAATGTGACAGTAGATTGAAAATAATGTGCAGTACTAGAATTGCTGGAATGATGTTCTTGAGTAGATGAGAATGTGGGATGCAGCATACAGCGGTGGCTGTCCACTGGATCACAGCAGTTCATCTCTCCAGGAACATAATGGAAAGTAAAATATATGGGTGCCAAGAAGGCGATGGTGATGACGAAGGGCAAGTTTTCACTGGACTGCTTACATTTTTTTCAGTGAAGTGAAACAAAAGTTACCAGATGACAGCAAAAATGAAGAGTAAGTTATAATATTTGAAGAAACAGAGAGAGTAAAAGTATCAAGAAGCCACCCAAGAGGGTTATAAACAAAACTGATCAACAATGAGAAAAATGATAGGGGGCAACATTTAGGGAAGGACCTCCACTTACACTGGGGGCCATGAATTCAAACTGAGGTGAGTCTGCAAGAGAGCTGGCTTTTCTCCAGCTGTGTTTATCCAGTAAGAGTTGTATTTATCTAGGACTATGGTTTTGTCAAGGACAGAACCTAAGAGAGACAAGTCAGTAATTACAATGACTGATCAACCATGAAATTAAGCTTGGTGAGCATGTGACAAAGACTAGCAAGGAGTAAGAGATAATGAAACGTGGTGGGATCGATGAAGTAGAGATACTGTGCTCCATCCTGTTAGTTGGACCCATTTTTTCAGCCACAATTTTTTCTCAGTTTTGGTTTTATTTTTTGTCATAGTTTATCCTTTTTGTATCACATAAAAATAATGATAATTTATTTACCTATTAAAAAATACTGATAAATACTAAGAGCCAGATGCTGTAAGATGTAAAGTTAAACAAGACTGGTTTTTGACAAGGACTTCAGAGCCTAGCAAAGAAGACAAATGGGTAAAAGAGGAATCACAAACAATATGATTAAGTCCTAAAGGACTACAAACAAACCTCTAAATTATGCTTGAGAGTTGATTAATGATTTCCATTGGCAAGGAATCTGGAATTAGAGTTCTAAAGATCAAATAGGATTCAGAAAAAAAATAACAGAAAAAGATTGTCCATGGGTCTTCTAAATTGTAAATAAAATTGTTGACTGAGCTTGGGCTGAGACACTAAATTTGTGACATAGCCCTAAAGACTACCTCCTAAATTATATAAGTTCATCAAGAACTACCATGCATCAGCTGTAACAGCCATTTCACCCTCACAAAGCCACCTTTGATCAAGCTTCTCAAATCTCCCAAACAGGTATCCTAGATAAAGAGGAGATTGATTTGTCATCTGTCATTTGTTTCTAGAAAATTCAGGCAGGCCCTTCTAATACATAACGAACTTTTCCCTTAAGTGCTAAAAAAACTACTTGTCTAATATTTTTGTTTTAGGATGTTGACTCATCAACCTGTAACTTGCATGTTCCCTGAAAATGGAATTGGGATGGAAATCAATACCCTTCTCTGAAAATAGTTGAAGATGACTATCAGAGAATCGCTTTTATGCTAAAGATACCGAAGGAAAGTGCTGCCAGAGACAAGGCTGAAGACAAATAGGGCACGATGAGTGGAACAGAAAGACAGGATATTGGCCTGCAGAAACAGAGGGCTATGTAAGAGGTCTGCATTAATTTCATAAAAGGGAGTAATCTAGGTCAGCCTGGGTAGAGTCCTTAGAAGTCAGAGATAATGTCGGATTCCGACATCTGGGAAAGGGCTCTCTTAGAGTTAGAGATAAAAGCCAGACTACTTGGGGGAAACTTGGAAACCTTTTTTAAATAAAACAAAGGAAATTATTTTCTATGACATCACACCAACTCTGCCAACTCCCGGCTTGCCAAGGCTTGTCACAATGTTTACAATCACAAATTCAAATACACAAAAGTCCTTAGTTGCACTGCAGTTCAGCAAGGCTGCCAAGAATCTGGGCTAATTCCTTCAAGGGAAAGGAAAAAGCAAACAAACAAACATAAATTGATGACAGACAAAAGAATTACAGTTCAAGCTTGGGTAATAAGCACTAGAGCAGAGTTAAAGAAACTGCATTAAATGGGTCAGCCCGGGACTTATTTGATAACCAGGCCACTAATTGCTTTTTTTCCTTTTCTTTAATTGTAAAAGTCTGGTACCAAAAGCCATGTTTTATTTTATTTCCTTAGTGCCCATCTTAGCTTATACAGCTCCAAAACCAAAATATAGAGTGAATACTATTTTGATTAAGGTTAAAACCACCGCCTTACCAAGGATGAAGTACAGCCAAGGAAGATGCCCTTTGATATCTCTTTGGGTAAACCATTTTTAATGTACTGCTGAGTGAACTGTCTGATGAGCAGGAAACCCAATCCTCTGCTCAGTTTTTGCTGGGGAAGCAAGAAGTGGAAACTAGAAACCTGAAACTGCCAAAGTTAAAACAATCTGATTAAATTCCCTCTCAACATTAAGAATAATTTAGTATTATGCCAAGATTATCTAGGCTTGAAAACAAATATGTTTCCTTCGGGAAAAGGTAGCTAAGCCAATTAGAAGAATATGCCAATTGGTGAAGCTGAGAAATATCATTGAAATATTCTATTTCTGCTTCAACATTAAAAAAATTTTGTTTTAAAACACTAGAATTATTTTAAAAAATAGCTAGTCAAACATTACTAACCATCACCACTTAGGTGGGTTTTCTGTTCTGTGGATGGGTATTGTCCCTTATTTAGTTCTGTATCTCTAAGCAACAACGATGCTACAAAAGCAAAAGATTTTGAAACTGCTCCATGAAGAGTGTAGATTAAAATGAAGGTAACTGCATGCTAAATTAATCTGACACATTTAATCATGAATCATTGTTGTGCTATATGGTGATTATGCATAATTGACAATTTATATATTTTTGTAACTAGTATTTTTAACAATTTTCCTTTTTTTAAATTTCTCAACACCTACTGTCAGTGTTGCCTGACAGTTTTCTTCATTCCAGACAGATTTTAATTCTTATTACTTTATTCTGTCATATAAGTTAAAACAAGTTTCTAGACTTGGCACTTCCAAGTTGCGTTTAAGGCTTGTTCCAAGTATCTCTGTGCCTCTGCCCCACGCTCATGTCTTACCCATCCTACACCAACATGGCAGCCCTTCAAATGCCATTTTAACTACTCTCCATCCCTCCACAACCCACGAAATCCTGATGTCTGGATAGTCAGGAAAATAAAAGCACAGGGTATAAACTGCAAAGAAGTTGGGAATGATATAGCAAACAGGCTACCAGCAGCATTCAGTAAAAGGTGAGGGGAGCAGGTCAGTCACCCTGGGTCGGAAGAAAGCAGAGAAGAAGAAAATCCAGAGGGATGTACAAGTCTGCACGCTGACACCCTCAGACAAAACACAAAGCTTGAGCCTTTGTGCTTTGTCTTGTTTGTTTTTTCCTGACAATCTTAGTATCTCACTAGATGCCTTTAAAAGATGGGATAATTTACTTCCACATTATTTCACAGACATTTTTTCTACCTTATGCCCTCATACAATGACTGATATGCTGTAGGACCTCCACAAATAGTTGTGGAATGCCTTCAGAATGTGTGTAGGTAGGAAGAGTGTTAAAGACTGAACTCAGAGCCTTGTATGTACATGCTAGGCACATGTTCTACCACTGAGCTACAACTTCAGCCCTATTTTAATCATTTTTAAAAGAAAATGCCCAATATTGATTGTATATTTCTCAACAAAACCAAGTCATTGACACACTTAATCAACTAACCATAGTCGCTAAATTGTTGAGCCAGAAACGACCCAGGCATCAAGGATGAGGCAGGAAAAGCGGTGATAAACTTCCAGTTCTGGCTTTTTCACTCAAAATTCTAGGTCCAAAAGAGGTAATGAGCTGTTTCTGTCTCAGCTCTGCCTTTTGTCTTAACTTTCTATGTGAATTTGACCCTGTTAGCCTTTAGGATGAATAGTTATTACACTGCTTCAGTTTTCTGCTCTTTAAAAAGATAAGAAAATTTAAATTTTATTGAGCAGTTCCTGCCTATAAAGCATGTACTAGATGCTTCTGTAGAGGAGACATGATAGTCTGATGCCTCCTATTCTCTTCAAGTCTGAATTCAGCTGCAACAAGTAGCCATCTATCCCACTCTGAACATTCACAAGAAAGGGTATTCAGAACATCTCTTAATAACAATGTTAACAATAAATGTAATACTTCATTTCCAATCTCTTTTCCTTAATAATCTTTTGGGGCTTAGCCCAGATACTGATAAACCATCTTACATTCCTTAAAGTTAAAAAGGCTTTTTACTTCTAATCTAAATCCTGCCTGGTATAGTTTAAATCCATTTCTTCGCATCCTATTCTCATAGAAGACAGAGAAAAGCCATTCATCCTCCTCTATATAAAAGTTCTTCATGTATTAAAGATTTCAGCCTTCATTTCTCCAGGTTATATAATGCCAATTCCTTTCATTTTACTCATATATCTTATTTTCCAAGCTTTTAGATTAATTCCATTGTACTCATTTTGGACTCTATGGATAATGAAATAGTCATGCAGTCCCTTTCAGATTCTAATAGGGTAATAAACTTTGAAGGAGGGGAGTATTTTTAAATCTTAAATCAGTGTATCACATGATCTAGGGCATAAAACATTTCTAAAGAGCAGGAGGCTGGAAAATGTACGTAAAATTGGCACAGAAAGCATTGGGTGTTATTGTCTTATAAAAGAGAAAACTAAGGAATGTGTCACAGAAAAAGATTAAAGTCACAATTAAAATTACCAGCTGTTGATTCTGATTTTCTACCAAGTTGCTGTCAAGTGATTATTATATTCAATCATAGTAATCTAGACTGAGGTTTAAAATTAAATCACATTATCACAGCTTAATC